GCTCTCAGGATCGCGCCGTTTCCTGACACAGGCGCTCCATACCCGTCGCCATTTTTTCTCCTATTGATTGTTTATTTTGTGCCAGGCATTATTTTAAGTGCTTTATATACATTATCTCATTTAATTTCACAACAGCCTTATAGAGGTTATTGCTATCACCCTTTTATTGATGAGAAAATATGTCAACAAACCAGCCTGAGATCACACAGCTATAGAGCAGGACTCCACCTCGGGCCCATCTGATCTTAAAGCTGTGTTCCTTACCATTGTGATCTACTGACAGTTTAGTTGAAACATTTGGATTCATACTGTACAAGAAACTACAGGTTTAATAATAATGATAAAAATAATAATAGTTCACGGCTAACGTTTAGCTAATGTATTCTCTTTTTAATTAATTTGCACAAAATTCCTGTGAAGTAAGTACTGTGATTAGCATCATTTGACAAAAGAGGAAACTGAAAATCAGCAAAGTTAAGCAACATGAGAGAATATACCAGGCTCTGGCATAACTGAGTTGTAATAAACTATAATTATACATGTTTATTACATTAGAACTTGAACCTCTGACTATGCCTGGTTATAAGGGATAAAATGCAGGTCACACACTGCACCTGTGGAGAACAGAGGCGTGTCCTGTGGTTACCTGTATCTGCCAGGCTCGCTGCTGTATTGGTCCATGGTCTGTCGGAAGCTCCGGACAATGTCATGCATTCCCACCTGTGTGGTAGTGAAGTCGTGGTACAGCTCCGAGTAGTGTGTGACCATGTCCTTTGAAAACCAACACAGCACAATTACCACCATTTCACATGTCACATGCCCACAGCTGGCTCTACGTGAATATAGATAATTTCTTCAAGGAGCTCAAGCTGAGTGAGATACACACTCAAACATGGTCCCAGAACTTTAAATACTCAAGGTGTTTGTGGATGGAGAATACTCACAACTATTCATACTTCATTTGATGCCTAAATTGTGAACTTTATAAATCTAGTAAACTATTTCTCTAATTTAACTATCACCCATCTTAGCAAACTAAATTTTACTGAACTCCAAATCATTGATTAAAAATGTATTTACCAAAGTCCTTCTAAATATTTAATTGTCTAATTGCTTCAGACACTTTTAATGCACAAGCAAAACCAACGATCTTAATGATTATAGAGCTCATATTACACTTATATGTTCTCTGCTCACAAAAACATTAATATCATGCATTTACATTTGTTTCTTTACCATATCTGTTCTTTATTCTTACTGTTATATTTTCTCAGGGTCTCAGTAATTTTCCCTGAAACTCTTTTCTATGCCCTCCTAGGGCTACAGTAATTTTGTTAAAATCAGAAGTAAAAGATTACATCTCATGCAAGTCAAGGTTGTGGTCCTGGACATGGACGGTTGGACAGTCCAAACCTGAGTTGCTGTCATTCTTTTGGTTTCGTTTTTTGTTTTTGGCAGCTGGCCAGTACGGAGGTCTGAACCCTTGCTCTTGGTGTTACAACACCATGCTCTAACCAACTGAGCTACCTGGCCAGCCCCCAAGTGAAAGGTTTTTATTTTTTTTTAATTTTTTTGAAATCTTGGGTCTTTCCCCCAAATTCCATCTTCTTTAAATTCCTCTTGGGTAGCACATAAAATTCATTGTTCTGACCACCTGTCATGACTGTAAATGTATGCCTGCCTTATAACATCTCATAATTAACAAGGTTATGTCAGGATTTTTTCTTCAAGGAGAAGCTCTTCCTCTGTGGGATATCTAGCTAATGTATCACCTTTTTTTCATTTTTCCTTTTTATTGGAAATTATGGCTTAATCATAACCTTTGGTTCATGACATACTCTCATAAATTGGCCTGTGCATGACCAACTTCTCTTTATTTAGTTAATTTATTTGTTTTAACAAACATATAGTATCCATAAATCTACTACTCAGGACAAAAACTAGAAGCTTGATAATAAAGTAACAATATGGATTTCATTTCACTTTTTTAACTCTATTAAAAGGGTATCACACTATGTATAATATTTTTTTTTTTCACTAACCATTACATTGCTAAGATTTGCATCATGGTAATTTGCATCATTTATTTTGACTAACATAACATTCTATTGTGTGAACATACAAATCTATCATTTTGGAATGCCTTTTAGGTCTACCGTCTACTTGGCAATTGAAAATAGAGTCACTGTAGAATAGTTCTCAACCAGAGGAACAGGGTGGCATTTGAATACCTTCTGTCATGTGTGACATGGGGGTGTGGAGCCCCAAAGAGCCCAGATACTGTAGTGAGATAGGCTTGGTTTGGAATTCTATTTATCAGCCCTGTAGCCCTTGATAAGTTAACCTCTCTAAGATTTGCTAAATGGGGATCATGAATCTTCTCTCATGAGAGAGTTAAATGCAATATCATAAGTAAACAGCACACGGCATACAGTAGACACTCAGCAAGTGTTCTCTTCTCCTTCGTCTTTATGTCCTTTAATAACTAGAAAAGTGCCTGGGGGGCCGGCCTGGTGGCACACTGCTACAGTGCGCCGCTTGGGAAGCGTGGTAGCGCTCCCACTGAGGGTTCGGATCCCACATGCGGACCGGCCGCTCACTGGCTGAGCGAGGTGCGGGAGCAACACCGAGGGTTGCGATCCCGTGGCCGGTCCCGGTCCGGTATGGGCGCAACACTGAGGGTTGCAATCCGTTGCCGGTCACGAAAAAAGACAAAAAGGAAAAAAAAAAAAAAAGAAAAGTGCCTGGGGAAGTTAGTTCTCCTCACGCGAGCTTGAGTGAGATGACAAAATCATGGTGAGTAGATGTCCTCCATTTTACAGCCAATGGTAGAGTCCACACTGTCCGTGTCCTCAGAACCCTTGTCACTGAAGGATCCCTCAAGGGATGCCTTGGTCTGGAGGGAACCAGTGGAAGGAAATAGCTGGGCATATGCATTTGAAACTCCTCTGTATTTCCTAAAGAGAATGGTTCAAAGTACTTCCTGTAGATAGGACAGAACTCACCTTTGTAATTGGTATTTCAGGCTAAAAAATATTCTGAGGATATTTTCAGAAAAGACCAAAAAAAATTTTTTTAAATAATACTTTACCGGGATTTGGGTCTTATTTACTTGGATCTCATCTCTCAGATGCTTTGCTTCTAGAAGAAATTTAACAGCATGGAAACTAAAGCCATCGACATTCTTTGCAAGCCAGAACTGTATAATTTCCTAAACATGAAGAAGCAAAACGCTCGATTACATTAACTACACATTGTTATCATAATGTTTAATAAGGGTTTTGTCTATTAATGACTTTCCACCATAAAATAGACAACTCTGCATACATATATTCTATTCCCATCTATTTCACATAGTTGCATTATAGTATAATGAACTCTCAAGTAACTGCAATTAGGGATTCTCACACTTCCTTCATATTTGAGTCCAGAATTACAATTACATTCATAATTGATGTTATGAGTATGTTTCCAAAGTACAAGGAACGAATCCTGGACCTTGGAGCTATCCACACCATGCTCTAACCAACTGAGCTAACCTGACAGCCTGTTTCCAAAGTTTAGAGCATCCACTCAAAATGAAAATATAAAACCATAATGACAGATATGACTCAGGACACACTGGAGAACTATCTCATCTCTCTCACAGTCAACTCCTTATGGTCACTCCAAACTGAAGAAAGTAACCAATTTTCAATAGTTAAACGCTGCACTCCTTACCAGGAAGGAAAATGAGAGTGAAGTGCTTAGGTGTTAAAGGAGCTCCTGTCAGGAGTAAGACAAAACAGAAAGAATCAACCATCAGCTAGCATGTAACTAAGAAGAATAGTGAAGATCTGGTGGTAAAACTCACATGCAAGCCTTGCCTTGTTACGTTCAGATAATAAAGGATTAACTGTATGTTATTCAAGGAAGCCACTATTCTACTGTCTTAATTTCACAAAGAAATTGATCCAAAGCCAAAACAGTTAAACCTAAAAATCCAGGTTCTCGTACATTTTATTTTATTCTTTGATGACAGAACTTCTTCCAAAGGTATGTAATGGGGACCAAAATTATTGTGTGAATGTCCTGGCTTTCTTTCCTCTCCTGCCCCACACTCTGGATTCACCTTGCTGGAGAGAAGCTAGTCGTTGCCTGCTCAGTCTCTCCCCAGCCCTACCTGCCATGGAGAGCATCATAGGAGCCTGCCAGCCTGTCTCCCAGGCATTTTTAATGCTCAATCTAAAGAGTGGGGAGATGAACATTGGTCTGGAGAAGTGGTTAGATAAGGGAAGTGGACCAAAAGATTAGGGGCCACCAGGGAAGGAGCTTGAGTAGAGGGGGGAGGAAGTGAGAAGTTTAGAGACAGAGAGGGATAAGGCAGCTTCCAGGTGTGAGCAAACAGGAGGAGGAAAGGAAGTGTTAAAGTGGGATTTCCTTTTATTCCAGGTAGTCACAGGTGCAGGGCCAGCTCCCTGTGCACGCCACCTGTGCAGGTGCACTGGTCACCTGGCTCAGAAGATCCCATGCTTGTTTTAATGCTCTGCTCTTGGTTTCACTGTTGAAATTCTCAATCATTTTGGGACAAGGGACCTGCATATTCATTTTGCATGGGGCCATGTAAATTGTGTAGTTGGCCATTTACAGGTAGCACGTAGAAAAACAACTACAGGGTAAAGGGACAGAGAGTGATGGGGAGGGGTAAGGAAAGCTGGAGAGCTAGCTTAGATTGAGGAGGTAGCGTTTCAGCAGGGAAAAATAAGAACTGAGGGAATGAGCCATGAGAAGGTCTGTTGGAACATCTGTGGAAATCAAGTGGGATTCCTTGAGCACTAAAAAGAGGGGCACAATGTGGTCAGAAGAGCATAAGCAAGAGGGGAAGGAGGTGAGGCTGGACTCATCAGGTCCTGTTTTATAATTAGTGGGAAAGACAGGATTTGTGTGCAGATAAGGGGAAACCCCTGGAAGGTTTGAAGCAGAAAAGGTTATGGTCAGATGTACATTTGTAAAAGATCTGATGTGTAAATAAATAGCACAGTCTGGCAGTTCCTCAAAAGGTTAAACATGGAGATACCATAAAACCCAGCAATTCCATGCATAGGTATATACCGAGAGAAATAAAAACATATGTCCACCCAGAAACTTCTACACAGATTTTCACAGCAGCATTATTTATAATAGCTAAAAAGTGGAAGCAACCCCACTAGTATATCCATACAACAAATATCTGGCCAGAAAAAGTAATGAAGTATAGACACATGCCACAATATGGATGAATCTAGAAAAGTTTGCTAAATGAAAGAAGACAGACACAAAAGGATAAATATGGTATGTCCCATTTATATGAAATGTCCAGAAAAGACAAAACCATAGAGACAAAAAATAGATTAGCGTTACCAGGGGCTGGGGGGACAGGGTAGGGATGACACAGTGGGGTGGGTGGTGATGGCTAAAATGTTCAGGGATTCTTTCGGGGGTAATGAAAATGTTCTAAAATTAGATTGTGATGATGGTTGTACAACTCTGTGAACTTACTAAAAGTATTGAAATTATACATTTTGGATGAACTTTATGCCATGTGAATTATATCTCAAAAAAAGCTGTTATTGAAAAAAAAAGAATAAATTAAGGCCGAAGAAGGTAATCAGGGAGTCCATTCAGGAGCCTACTATGGCAGCTTGCAATGGGGAGACAGTGGTGGAGGTGGGCAGAGGTGGTCAGATGCTGTCTTAGTCCGTTTCTGTTCACTATAACAAACTACCTGGAACTAGGTAATGTGTATGAAAACGAAATTTATTGCTTACAGTTTCAGAGTCTGGGAAGTCCAAAGTTCAGGGAACATATCTGGTGAGGGTCTTCTAGATGGTGGCTTTACAGCAATGCAGGGATTTCACATGGCAGAAAACGGTGGAGCAGAGAGAGAGAGAGAGAGCTCCTCATGTGCTCTTCTTTTAAAGTCCTCAGAACAAGGCCACCGTTAAACCATCAATTTAATCACCTCTTCAAGGCCCCACCTTTCAATTACCATAATAGGATTTCCCACCCTCAACAGTTACAGTGGGAAATAAGTTTTGGGGGGACATTCAACACAAGGCAGATGTTGAATCTGCTCTAAGGGTGAAGCTCACAGACCTAATAGCTTGTGGGGAGGGGGGTTTGTGAAAGAAAAGGGACTAAAGCTGACCTTTAGTTCTTGGCCTGAGTGACCATGTGCCGTTCACTGAGTTGGGACAGCAAGTTGAATAAAGATGGGGCGTTCCAGTATACAATAAGTATACTGAACATGTACAGGGTAATGCTGAAGAGGCTGGTGGCTTGCTAACTCTGAGCCTGAGAGCAGAGGTTGTTGTTACGGATGTAAATTTGGGAGTCACCAGCCTAAAGACAGTGTTTACTAAGCAACTTTTCCCTTGTTCCGGCAACATAGTTGACCCCAGCACAACCAGAGCCCACCCACTCTTGGTTCAAATCAAACCAACAAGCCCTCGGTCATGAAGGGTTCTTCCACCCAACTGGTAAATTCTTGAAGGAAAGAGGGCAGCTTTTATTCCTGTCTCCTGTGCCTCTGACACAGTATCTGGTACTTGGTGAACCAATTGTGAAATGAAAGAATGAAGTATTGAGCCCAAATGAGTCAAACACTAAAGAAGTACAGCATGTTCCCTGGCTTCAAGGAGTCTGTTAAACAAAACAAAACAAAACACTCAAAACAAACCCTGACAAATAGAGCCAGGGAAGGCCATGAAGGGAGGGTTCTCATGCACATATGCCTGATAACAAGAACTATCAAAAAAGATTCTGCAAAACCACAACCTTGAACAAAGGTCATCACTACCTTACACTCCCTTACTCCTGCCAGGACATCTGCCCAGCAACTGCCTGTCCAACCTCAGAATGGCATCACTCATGTTATTGATTATCAGCCAAGGATAATTATCCCAAAACAATTATGTAATCTTCCATTATTTTTCCTTTAAAATCCTTTGTCTTCCTTTATCTCCCTGAATATGCACATAGTTTGCTATGGCATGCATATTTCCTTTGCAATGCCCTATTCCTGATTAAACTCATATTCTTTTAGAGGGCCTCTCTCTGTTTGTTATTTAGACTGACAATCTACAGAATAGTTGGGGACACATGAGATATGAGAGCGTTACCTAATAATGCAAGTCAGGGCATGATGTAACATGACAAGAAGAGATTCTTCTGTTTTCAGGGCTCTAGGAGCTCCAAGAAGATCAAATCAGCACGAGTGGGCACAGCCAGAGAAGAAAAGGCTAGAGCTTAAACATGTTCTGGACAGCCTTGGGGGATTTCATCAGGCAGTGAGATCAGGACAGTGTGAGCCAAGCATGGAGGCAGACACTGGCCTGGCCTGTATTGGGACAGTTGGGAGGACTAGAGGCCCAGGTCTCAGCTCCTTCACCCCCACCCCCACCAACCAATCCCTCAGCCAGCCCCTTCCAGCTGGGCCTATTCCTGCACCTGACCACAAGCAGCCCCTCTGCAAAGGTATGCGGCTCTGCCCACTTTCCTCTCAGCTCATTCCTTGCTAAGAGGAAGGTTTTAAGGAATGTATATATCACTTTGGAGCAGAACCATCTGTAATTTAAAGTTTTAGAGTTAAGTAGCCAATTTTCTCCTACGGAGGGGAACAGAACCACAGATTCCAAATGGCAACTATCCCACAAATCACTGGTTTGATTTGAAGTGTGTTACTTGTATCTACCTGTGAATATGGGGTCTCTAGAGTGCTGCAAGTAAAGGGTCTCAAAGGTTTCTATAGGCTAAATGCAAGGGTTAATACTGCTGATGTCAATTCCCTTTATACTGCAATTGTGACTGGCAAAGCTTGAACAAAGTCTTCTTATCTAAGAGCAGGCTCTGAGGCTACTAAGCTCTCACATGGACACAGGTGACCCAAATGGCCTCAAGCTGTCTCTACCCAGTGGATTTTTCCTTTGGGGCACAAAGCCCACAGATATGTTCTTCCTAGCATCTTTACCTATTAACAAATTCATTCACTCAGTATTTCCTACTACAGACCAGGCACTTAGCTAAGCCTTGGAACTTCAACTATGAGCAAAATACAACAGACACAGTCCTAGGTCTGCTGGATTATTTTAGAATCTCCGCCTGGACAATCAAATAGTAATACAAAAATGTTTAAATCACAACTGTGATAAAGTTGTGAAAGGAGAGGAACGTGGTAATACAAGAGGGTAAAAC